GAGAGGGAAGAAAGAATGGTGGTAGAAAAGGGGAGGACAATGGAGGGAGAAAGGAAGATACAGAGAGGGAGGAAAGAGAAGATATGAAAGCTGTGTATGGAATTTATAAGAGAAATAGGAGTTAGCTTTAAAAGATGTGAAGGCATTCATAGAATATCACAACAATGAAAGTAGGCTCTCAATTACATCTGAGTTGTACAACACTCACAATTACATTTGCTGAAGTTTTGTTTCATTAGTAAATCATGAGTATGTAATGTAATATTTATATGTGCATAATTAATCTTTCATGCCCCTCTTAAGCAACTTGTATATGCATCATCCTTCTTCCTAATGCTGCATGATTGATTAATACCAGTTACAACTTAAGTTCTAAATGTATTTCTAAAAAAAGACAGACTATAAGACTTGTAATGTGTTATTAATATTAGAGTATGGTTTTCTGATTTTACAAGCTGTGTGCTCGGAAACTGCGTGCAACTTTGTGACAATAACATGTGTAGCAACTTGGTGTCTGAAGTGTAAAGTGTTTGTATTGCAGCACATCCGAGGGCTTTCATCCGTGGGCCTTAGGCTGTATCACTAGTTCTAAGATACACTATCTGGTGCTGCTTCGACGCGTCTTGAGTGGTGAAGGGGGATTAGGGACTGGGTAGACTGTTGCTCTCGCTCTCTGCAACCAGTTCTGAGTATTTAGCCGAGTAGCTGCCTCCTTGGAGCTGAATTGTCTCCATAGGTCATGGACATCAACAAAGTCATTGACTAACTGAATGGGAAACTCGATGCAAAGTGGTTTAGCTCTCGAGAGCTCTGTCCAGGTGATCTTTCAGGTTTCAGCTTCTCTCTTCTGGTCCAGGCCCCTTGTTGCTACATTCAAACCTCTTGCTGGAGGGTTCTTCCTCCAGCACTGCTCGTATCTTGTCCTGAACCAGCTGACACTTCTTCTTCCCACGGGCCTTGTTGTCACTTGGCTTGTGAAAGCTGCCTGGTCCTGACCATTTGTTTAAACATTTGTTAATCTGAAAATGTGAGATAACTTCTTGTAATTTGCATGGTAGAAGTGAATCCAAAATCAGAACCACAGTTTTTTACTTTTCACTAAATTAACACAACGCCTTGTACAGGACTGTTTTCTTGATCCCACTACGGCCTGCTGACGCTGGATTTCAGACCATTACCGCTTGTTCCCACAGTGAGTGATACACTTATTACCATGGAGTCTACTATTTATTTGTTTCATTTAAAAACGGATATAAATGACTAAATACCGCATTAGACTAAAGTGTTGCTAAGTTGCACGTTACTGTAATGGCACTACTATTTGCAGTAACTAGTAAGGATTAGTTACTTTCTAGATTCAATAATGCCGTTATAATTACAGACAAGTCGAAGCATTCGCTATGTATATGAAACAGCCGTGGGCAAGGTGAAGCTAACGTCAGTATAGCAGAGTCCTGGGAGAAAGAACATTGCACCCAGTAAACAAACACAGGCAGGTGACCATTCAGCTGCAACATTTCTGTCTTGGAAAATTCCGACATTAGCTTCCTCTGCTCAAGTTAAACGATAAGAATGTAGCAGTGAGCAGTAGTCTATGTGCAGGAAGGAAAACTTAACTCACAAGAACGAAGCACCGAGCTAAACAGCAACATGCTTTAGCTCAGCAGATCAAGGAGACACTCCACACAAACAGTTGATTGATTTAAAACACTGTCTGCTCCATGATGTGTAAGCCGGAATATAGACTGATAGACAGGTATGTTGACGGCAACATGCTTCATATCAACTGTTGAGTCTGTTGCCCTCAAAGAACTAGTTAGTAAAATACCGACATGTTGAAAATCACTACAGTGTTACTTGAAATGTGTGAGTTGTTACAGCCCAATTACACCACAGCAAGACTAAATAATGTGAACGTCAATATGAGGATTGAAGCAAAAATGTAACGCTTGGCATCAATATCAATTTCAGGCTGTTTCATTTCGAGCTAAAAACTCCTCATAGGAGATTTAAATAAGGTCCAATTCGAAGGTCAAACCTCCTGCCCAAGCACATTTAAAATGGTTGAAGTTATTGGTTTATTTTAAAAATTGCAGAAATATATTATCTGTAAGAGACGTAACTGCAAGTTCGTCTGACTTGTGTGTCTGCTCTGGTTAATGAGAGGCTGTGGTAGGAACACTCTGACAAACGCTGAAAAACTCAGTTTATGTAACCAAAAAAGAAAACATCATGAAGACATGAACTCTGTAACATTTGTAAAAAAAAAAAAAAAAATCCCTATAAATATTCCAAGAGAAAGCAAAGTGAAGGGTAGAGGCTCACATCTCTGAGCTTCCTGTGGTCTGTCTTACTCTCCATTATTATACATTTCTAAATTTATGTTTAGTATAATAATACAGTAGTTATGAACTCTGCTGTGTTTAAAAAGTACAGAAACTAAATCCAGTTAAAAACAAAACTGTTAAAAGAATAGATAACTTTGCAGATACTATCCTCCAGAGCTATTTGAAAATCACTTTAATTCTCCATGGAGATGACAATCTGCTTGTGTACAGAGGCACCGTGAAGCTGAATTTAGTCATACTGATGCCAAAGCACACAAAATAATATCAGAGCCAAAACTGGGTGCACGCCCGTTAATCCGTAAAATATTCATTGTTGCATTTTGTTAACAAATTAATCAAATTAAACAACTTCTGCAGTTCTGTATAAAGACTGGCCCCCTTATTTAAGGAATAATGTACAGCAAGTCGGTCATTTCTGAGTAAATAAACCCTGACAGGGTTGAAAAAGGCACTGTTTGATTATGCTGTTTGAATTGGGTCCATAGCAATGGCCATCTACAAATTAGCCTAATTTGCTAATTAACTTCATTGATGGAGAAGTGAGACAAGGTGAATGGGGACCAAGAATCAATGCAACACTGATTGAGGTTTTCAGCCGTGTTGCTGTCAAAGTCTGTCACCATTTTCATCTTGATTTACAAGTCTGTAAACACTGCCAGCTGAAACAACGTTCTGCTTGGTGTTTACATCATATCTGCCAGAATTTTTTTTTTTTTCGGGTCCAGCTCTTTGAGGCTTTCATCCTCGTGATTATTTTGATATTGTTTTCCTTGTAGTTTTTCCCTTTTACCAACAGACTGTTATCAGATCCTCTGGACTCCATTCTGCCGATTGAGATCACTAGACCTTTTGATTCTATGATCACAACTTGGTTACAAAGTGGCTTTGCTTTGCAATAATTTGAATGTTCCCTTTTTTTGGACAATTGTATTTTTGAAATGCTATTTTTTTTTCTAACTTGCTTCTGGACAAAAATGCTATTGGTCCACTTGGAATTTTAAAAAATCAGGAATTCAACAGCAACAGTAACTAAGCAGGCATGGTTTAAGCATAAAGCCATTAAGAAATACAATGAATTGGATCAATCCCTTATATGATTTCAAGAAAATGCTGTTGACAGCAGCTTGGTGGGGGATAAAGGGGTCATCTTCGAGTATCTCCCATTAATCTTTGGTCTACGCTTTGTTTTCCAGCGCAGCAACTTTACAAGAACGTGACAAAGGAGCTTATTTTGTTGTAGACACAAAGTAAAAAAAAAAGAAATGCAGGTAAAAACAGAGAAGAGAGATACAATAGGAGAGGTGACTATGTCGAGGGCTGCAACCGAAAAACATGAAGATGGCTGCAGCCCACTCTTAATGAGTCATAAATCAGCTCGATATGAATCATCTCTACAGCGCTTTTAGAGAAAAGTGTTAAGAACCTCATTAATTTCCATTAAGGAGCAGCTATCTGGTAAGTTGACCACAGCATCAAATTCTCTGAGCTGCTATCATTAAGATCTCAGGAGAACTCACACAAAGCCTCTATGTGCCTACACACTAAAACGCTTTGATTTGGGGTCACCCCTTTCATTTTCAGATCAGATAAGGGGCGGGGATATTCCCATAAGGAACAACAGCCTAAAGATTCATAATAAATGCTGTTCATTTCAGAGACATACTTGAAATGTAGCATTTCTTAAACAAACTGAGTCATAATGACTCAACTGTCAGCCTACCACTGCTTTGAGAGCAAATTTGCAAGCACTTCCTTCAGCTGCCTCGCTCTCTTTGTCTGTCTCTGTCAGCTCCTTACAGGCCAATGTCACAGTCAAAATATGCAACAGCCTGTATGAGGCATCATTCACATTGACATCATTTACTTTAAATCACCACAATGAAATCATGATAAAACATGTCATGGGAATAATTTAAGAATGTGAAATAACTGATGAAAATGATGCCACATTGAAATTGTGATTACATGGTATCATAATGAGCAGCTACAAGAAACGGATCTCAAACCTTGAAACTGTGTTACACTCAATACAAATAAAGAAAGCAATGAAAATCTAAAGAAAAACAAGTTATAAGCATGAGATTCTTTTGCAGATAGCCATGCAAAACAAATATGACTACTTTATAAATATGTAATTTAATTCCTTTAAAAAATAACCACAAATCCCATAAAAAAAGACAGAATCGATTGTGCAGATGAGGGATAACCTCAGCTTATTCAGAGACAGAAATGATTGTCAACTCTCAGCATGATGACTTCATCACTTATTCACAGTGAGAGCCTCGTAGGCTTTCCACAATCATGATAATAAGAAATGCAGCAGCAGCAGCAACAACAACAGTAATAGGAGCAATCATAATAACTGTTGTGTTTTTGTTTGGTCCAGAAGAGCTCTTGAGTCAATTGAAGCGAGGAGCAGCATCTTAAGCCACAGCAGTCACTACACCCAGCATGTCTCGAATCACATGCAGGGAGGAGAAAGATGTATTATGTCTAACAATCCTCTGTCTTTGCTCCTGTTTTTCACTCTATCCATTTCATCAAAATCAGCTCATGAATTAAAATGTACTGTTTTCCTCACACTTCTGTGCTCCTGCAGGTGTGAAATCAATATGGCCTCTAAATATCCCCACCATCCCCGTGTTTGCTTACCAGAGAGGTGAAGATGTAAGTGTAGTAGACTGACAGCATTCCCAGCTCCGATGCCTGTAGAGCAAAACCACAAGAGGGGCAGGAGGGGAGAGATAAAGAGAAACGTAAGAGATATTAAAGGATATTTAAAGGGCAAAAACAGAAATTCAAGGATTGGCGTTTGAAGAAAAAGATGTTGAGGGAGGGAGGGGGAAAGTACAACAGAAGGCACAGGTAGTCAAGAATAAAGGGTTTCTGGAAAGAAGTTGAGAGGTCAGTGATTCGGTGTAACTCAAGCTCCACTCTGCAGCCGACAGATCAAATCCACATCTTGATAAGACGCGACACATTCTTATCTGACAATGGCTCTCTATGGAGCAATTAATTTCAGAGGTGCTTTAGTATGCTGCTCAACGCTCCGTCTTATAATGTGATTAAATCAAAGTCACAGTGAGGAGCAGTTGTGAAGGACAATGTGAACTTTGCATAGCTTAATTTCTTTAAAGTTATACGAGAAAAAAAAGGAAAACTATAGTGTTCTGTCCAATTATTCTGTTATGCACATTTTGATTAAAATCAATAAGTCTCAAGTAGATATACCATATATCAAGCCAAACTGTTTTAAAGAAGATGGATTTTTTTTTTTTTTCAAGAGCTTCATTTGACCTGAGTAAAACTCCACCTGGAAATAAATAAACCCTCATGCCCTCTGGGACACATTTCTGAAAGAGCATCTTTTCCAAATACATGTGTGATAAACTCCTATTTAGCATTCGCGCTAGCATTTGCCTAGGATTAGGTATCGTTAAAAAGAGTTTTACAACAGGTATTAAGCTGTCATATCTTCAAAAAGGTAACATCTGTGGGGTGTGAGCCATTACAAGCATATGCCGCTCTGTTCTGCAGGAGCATACATAATTAGTAAGAAGCAGAAACACACCAATCAACTGCAGCCAAAACATTCAGATACAACGTTCACTCTAATACTGTGAATGACCTTTCAAGATGTCTCGACAAAACATTATTTCTAATATTTATTTAGCATGCTTAATTGTGAGACTGTCATCAACTGTCATATTAGGCTTCAGGATACTGTAGTTGTTTATTAGAGTCTATCCAGGTGTTACACAGTAAGGAAAGCTAGCTGCTGTGTTTTTCCCCCCTTAAAGAGGCATTTTAAGCAACTACCGCTTCAAAGCACTCCATCTTGGTCTCTTGTGACCTGTAACACGATACTTAAAAGAAACTGACATTCTTTAAAACAAACAGCTAATGAAAATGTACTGTTGTTCTCCCTTCACTGCATTTAAAACCAGCTCTCCTGCTGTCTCTCTCACTTTTTGCCTTCTTGTTCTATGGTAGGCTTTGGTCAGAGTACACACACTCTGCACGGTCCCCATACTGGACTCACTGTCTGCAGCTGTGTACAACAATGGAGGCCTGACTGAATGAGATTACATTCAGAGTGTCAACACAACTGACCTAAACCCCTCTGAATGCTTAAACCTCAGAGAGGGAGACCTTTGTCTGACAAGGGTTTGATGCAAGATGTGAACAGACAATTGAGGAGGGATATCCTGCATGACAAAAGACGATGCTGTCCCAGCAGACAATCTGGTTGCTCTCATCATCATCTGAGACTGGCAAATACAGTATGTCGGGCACAGCTTTGATGTGTTTGGCGTCCTGATACTCTACATGACAGGCAGGACCGCCAACTTTCCACCATCTACATGACTGTCTCTCAACAGAAAGAGACGCTGGAACAGATAAAGGGGACAAAATGGGTGTTTATACAAGACCACAGGGTGAAGGTGAGAAACCAAAGTTATACCGTCCCCTTTGCTTTTTGAGTTTCATGAAACATGAAGAAATGGAGAACCAGAACAAAAAAAAGAAAGCAACATCCTGCTGTGAACTCCTGCTGCTGCTCTGTGGCCTGGGGTTGCCACAGTTGCCATGGTGACTGGATGACCACTGATGGCAGCATGAACACTTGATTGAGGTGAGAGATTTTGATTGTATACTTCTGTGAGAGAGACTATAGCCACCCCCCCATCCTCTGTCATCAGTTATTGTCACCTCCACTCTAACCATCCATCCATCGTCTTTTAGAAATAATGAGGTGTGTATTAATTACATAGAGGCCATATGTTGCGTCAAAAAACCCTAGCTTCATCAGCTCTCACCTTCATGGATGCAATGCAAAGTCTCCAACAAGAAGAAGCTTCTCCATAATGCTCTCAAGGTAAAGATTATAATTACTATGTTCCATATATGGAAAACATCTGAAAGTCGTACTGATGTTGTTCCTGACAGAAATACTGCTCATTAACGTTCTCAGGAAGTTGTGTTTCTCACATGATGAACTCGTCGTTATACAGTTTTATTCATTTATATTCAAAGGTGTTTAAACTTACCCATACTCATATGGGTAAGAGATAAGGACATGAAAGAATCTGTCCTCTTAATCTGCTTCCCTGACTGAAACAGCAGTTTGTTATAATCCATGACATTCATGATATGAAAGAAGACAAAGGGGCTTCTTCATTTTATAAATCTGTTTTTTTTTTTTAATTACACTAATCCACTTAACTGTGCAGGATTCTCATTCATGGAAGCTGAATCATTGGGATACAACTTGATTTAATACTCTCGCCCATTCCATTTGATATAACAGGTTTGTTAAACAACATTGCCTCAAGTCATTTGCCTTTTATTTTGGGACTATGTTTATGACCTCAGGCTCTGCAACCCTGACTGCCAAAAGTGCTTGAATACATGTAATCTGTTTCTGGATTCAAGAGGGCAAGTATAACATTTCTGTGAAAAAGATTTTTCCTTTTATATGTGCTGCACAGTATTCGTTGAGTCATAATGGAAATCCGACTTCTATCTCTCTTCAGGTTAAAACTAAAAACCGGAGCAACTTCTTCTTCAGTTAAAAAAGTATATATTTCCTAACCCTTACATCTACTTTAAGCCTTGAACACTTTATGCCACTGGCATTTTCACTTACTTCTCGTATTTGGGAGACATGAACATTTAAAAAAAAAGAGGAAATTGGAAAAGCTATGATAGCAGACCATGAATAAAGCTCTCAGTGCATACATGACCAGGTATCACTTAAATCATACTCACCCGTTCCAGAATGATATGTGACATGGTGGCATTGGCATCAACTATAATGGTGGCAGTCTTGTCGTCTCGTATCTCCTTCAGGAGCGGGGTTGGGTCCTGACTGTCATCGAGCATGCGCACAGACAGAGTCTCCTTTGAGATGAGGAACTGCCTGAGGAGCTGCTCCAGGTTCAATAAGCCTGCAGATAAGCCACACACACACAAACACACACACACACAAACACACAAACCAGAGGGTTTCTTATATCGAAGGCAGGACTCTTCAAAGGTTGTGAAGTTTTACATAAATAGTTTAGAATAGTTAGAAAAAAAAATACGTCGCCATTACTTTCATTGACTTCTCTTTGAGTTTAATAAAGTCATTCACATTCAGGATGCATGCATGTGATTAAATTATGGATTTAATATGCATATATGTGCTAACAGATGTGCCTATTGTTTTCCTTTGTGACAACAATGAAGTCAAAACACTTCATCATCAAGAAAAAGTCAACACAATACCTTCAGTGAACTTGCCATCAAACCCAAAGGGACATTTCAGCAAATGATTCTCGCTGGGCTACTGGGTTACTTATACATATAGGAGTTAAAAGCTAACAACCTGAAAGATTTTCAGGGCAGGACACCAAGGCATGTTGTTGTGACAGTTATGTTAGTGTCCCCTTGGCAATTTGGCAGATCTCATTACACTCATAACATTTTTTGACATTGGCAAGGAGAGCCATATGGAAAGGATGTGACTTATTGGACAAGGACGCGCTTTAGCTGAGTCTTCACCTGCTTCCTTTCATTTTAAAATTAATCATTAAACAGCACTCGAGACTTTTGCCTGAGCAGAGTTTTTATGTGATTTTTTTTTTGCCATGGCGACAGCAGATCAGTTGATCTATCACACAGAGACCAATTTTAGGGGAGCAATTTGAAGTTGTCAAGCTGGCTTCTTTAGCTTTTCCACGGCCCATTAACACAAGATATAGCAGCATCCCCGTCCCCAGCATCATGTCTAATGGCTTCTGCAATTATGTCTCTGTCTGCCTGTCCTTCAGCCTGTCCGTATGCCAGTATATCATTGTGTGTGTGTTTGCCTTCCTCTACATAGCTTCCTACATATGTGCACTCATGAGACATCACTCCTGGCTGCGGCTTGCTCGTCTGCCTGAGTCTCAGAACCTGTCGGATCAGCTTCATCTGTAGAATTACGCAGAAAAATGTGATGAGCTTGAAATAGCTTCGACTGAAAACCACTCTTTTCTACGTCCACACTCTGCAGCTTCTCAACAGGCATCACATACGAGTTCTCATCATCAAATTCCTGACATCAACTGCTGTACCAGATGTGGCTCACGGAAGAGCATACACACATTTACACACATAAATAGAGTTATCACAGAAGAAAAGCTCATATTCACTTTAGTGTTCAAGCACACGAGTCATAGGGGTGGAGTCAAAATTTTACACCAGGGTTTTTAGCAGCCATAATGTTCCCTCACTGTTTGCTCTGGTGAACCAGATTCAGTCAAATGGGAAAAAAAAAAACTTACATCTGAATGAAATATGTACTCTTTTTTTGGTTAGACTTGTGTCTGTCCCTGTCCAGAGAAAACACACAAAAAGCAACCTGTCCCAGCACTTCCCCTTCACCTGTCAGGTGGTGGTTGTGCTGATCTTTACAGCATACATATGCATTCATTAAAAAGCAAACAGGAAGCAGGAAACAACTTGTACTGTAGTGCAGAATGACTCACAATGAATTGCATGTAGGACATGTATCTCAGTTTAGGCCTGTAGGAGAAGTGGAAGTGCTATATTGCCAAAAAAGGGACCAAGTTAGATTTAAGCTCAGGTAAATTTCATTTGTTGTTCGTTGGCCTCTATGCAGTAAATGGATTTGCATGGGAAACTTGTTTGGCAGGTATCTGAATAACA